GTGTATGTATGTGTGTATGTATGTATGTGTGTATGTGTGTGGTGGTGTGTGTGTGTGTGTGTGTGTGTGTGTGTGTGTAAATATGCATGTGCATGCTGCAGGTTTGCTCGGGGCACCCTCTTCACTCGCCCTTCACCTTGCATTTTGAGACGTGGCTCTTTCTTAACTGGGAGGATACCATTTCAGCAATGGCTAGCCAGTGAGCCCTGGCCATCTGTCTGCACCCCACTAACAACTGTGTTGCAGATCCATGCTGCCATGCGTAGGTTTTGATGGGGGATGTCCTTCTGCATATATGTTTCTCTCTCATTGGTTGATGAATAAAACACTATTTGGCCAGTAGAGGCAGGAAGATGGGTGGAACTAGGAGACAGGAGAATTCTGGGAAAGGTAGGCAGAGAGAGACCATGAGAGGATGCCATGTAGAAACCAGGAGGATAGGATGCGGAAGGCGTTCTCTGGCCATGTAGAAATACAAAGATTAGTAGTTATGGGTTAATCATTAAGACAGAGCTAGCAAGTAAGAAGCCCTAGCCATCAGCCAACCGTTTAATAATTAATATAGCATCTGTGTGTTTATTTGGGGCCAAAGCTGCCGTGAGACCTGGCAGATCAAGAAACTCCAGCAACAAGGTTTCTGTTGACGGAGGTGCTGAGATCCAAACCCAGATCTCCATACTTGCACCGACATCCATTTACCCACTGAGCCGTTCCCCAGCCCCTCCTCTTGCTTTTTCTTAGTGTTGTAAGGTTGAAGGATTGGCTATAGCAATTGAAGGTGTCAGATGACGGTGAGTGACATTGTAAGTCATCATGGCCCTCAGTAGCCTTGGCAAGCGTAAAGACCCCAGCAGACTTGCCCAGCTGTGTGGAGATCAGCTATCTCCACGAGCAAGACCCCTGTCTCCTGACCCGTGCGGATGGCTTTTTTTCTTTCAGATGATTTCTGTGGAGAGGGTGATTGAATACACAAACCTAGAAAAGGAAGCCCCCTGGGAGTACCAGAAGCGACCACCCCCGGGCTGGCCCCAGGAAGGGGTGATTGTGTTTGACAACATGAATTTCACCTACAGCTTAGACGGGCCTCTGGTCCTCAAGCACCTGACGGCACTCATCAAATCCAGAGAAAAGGTGTGTTGAAACCTCTCGCTCCTCCTGAGTTTCCACCGAGGTCTTAGGGCCACGTCTGCACGCCGCCTTCCTGGTGGTCTGCCAGCAACACCCTGTTCCTCTGTGGATGCAAATCAGCCCAGCAGTGATGTAGATACATCTTCTTAGAAGTGGACCATGTGATGGGAAACTAGCATTTCTTTATAAAAAATAATCAGTCACTCTGAAGTATTACATAATAAAATTCTTATTGTTTGAGGAAGACGTTAGTCTTTCTTCATACAATAAAGTACTCTGGTTGAGGTATCCTGGAATTTAACCTGACGAGAATTAAATATACTTGAGAGAGAATATATCTGATCGAATGGTTCACAATTAATTGATTATTGATTATTAATTGTTAATAATAATTAATCTGATCTAATGTCATTCCTGGATGCTTGTCTCTGAGGCATCCGTGTCTGCTTCCCTCCTGTTGCTTTTATTCCTCTGTTGTTGTACAAATGCTTCTCTGTCATCCCATTTTCCACTCCAGCCCTCCTCTCATCTTACCTAGTTGCTTTCCTCCCATGTTGTCCAACCCCAAGCCCTTGGGCTGCATGAGGCCCAGGCTAGCTATGAACATAGCCCACCAGAACATTGTAAATTTACTGGAGACTTGGATGAGTTTCTGCTTAGCTATGTTCATTCTTCTGTAACTTGGTTGTGCGTTGTAGATGACTGTGTCCTGCCTCCGTGTCAGCAGGCTGTTCACCCTCCCACAGGGGACTTTCTTTCTGAAGGGGAGAAGGGATCTGTGCTCCCGTTGCCTCCTGTCTGGGCAAGCTATTGCTGTTGTGGTGCTAGCCAGGCCCAGACGTATTCTGGTAGAACTGGAAGGCCATTTCTCGGCCACCGTGGAAGCCCAACCAGAGCTTGGTGGCTGGAGCTCAGGCTGAAGATAGGATAAGGTCCAGAGACTCAGGTGGAGTGGATGAAAGAGATTCAGAACCTGTTGGGGGGTTGGGTGGGGGGCATGGACTGATCTTCCGACAAGCCCACCTATTTCAGTGGCTCTAGTGCTCATGGTCTGGTGCTCTGGGGCCACATGCCACTGCAGCCTTGGCTCTACCCCATACACGGGGTGTCCTTGATTGTCCATCCATTGTCCTATCCTGTTGGATGAGCATTGCCTCTTGACTTCTTTAGTGCAGGCCCTTTAGCTGTGCCTTTTTCCTCCTAGAAACCAGCCCATGATCCCTGTAGTCTCTCTCTCCCCAGATGCACAGTTGATAACTGCTGAGGCCTTGTGGCGCTTTCTCCCACCCTTGCAGATGAAAGATAATTTCAGGATCCTACCAAGTGCCTACCTCACTTCCCCTTGGCAGGTGGGCCAGGTCAAGCGTCATGGAGCTTGCTCAAGCTCTCACAGCATGGGAACGTATAAGCGTTAGCAGCTCCTGTGGTCCTGTGGGCCCGCAGAGTCTGTCCCTTCTCCCTCAGGACCAACATTACACTGTGTGCAGCCGCTATGCCTTCCAATGCTCTCCTGTGTCAGAGCCTCCCCATGGCTGAAGTCTGTAGCCTCATGAGTCTATAACTCTCCCACTGAGTTCTTCTGAGGGTGACTTAGAACCCTTTCATTGATACAAACGGTCTCTGCCTCCGTGAGCATTTCAGAATCATTCACAGTGACCAAAAGCTGGGAGCAACCTACGTGTCCATTGAATGGATAGGCGAAATGTGGTGGATTGCATGCTGCAGTCTTAAAGAGGAAGGGGGGATGCCAATGCTTTCTGTGACATGGACATACCCTAGGGCATTACACTGAGCAAAGAAGCCACAGAAGCACAATACTGTATGAACCCACTACACCACCCAGACTTGTCCCACTCATAGAAACCCGAGGGATGGTGGTGGTTTCCAGATCCTGAGACAGAGGGCAGCAGGGAGTGAGCAGGGCTGTGATGGGTACAGGGGTTCTTGTCTTGCACACTGAAAACAGCCCTGGATGTGGATAACAACGGAGGTTGCCCACCAGTGTAAATATAGTTAACGCCACTGACTGGGTGCTTAAAATAGTTGTGATGGAGAATTTTACGTTATTTTCCCTCAATTTTGAAAGTGTATAAAATAGTTAAGAGTGATAATTAATCTAGGTGTTGATGTGATGAGATTTATAGTCACCTGGGAGACAGGCCTCTAGGCATGCCTGGGTGGGGGGAGGGAGGTCTTACTTATTGTATTTGGGTAAGGAGACTGGTTCACTGTGGGTGGTGACATTCCCTGAGCTGGGATCACGGACTGTGTAGGAAGGAGAAACGGTGCTTGATAAGCAGTCATCACTCTGTTTCGTGACTGTGGAGGCAGTGTGGCCAGCTCATGGTCGACTGGGACCTTAACTGCCAAAACAGACGCTTTCTCTCTCTTTCTGTCAGGGCATTTTTGGAAAAGTAACTAAGACAAATACACCTGTGTATTTTGCCATAGGTTTGTCTTTTTGTGTGTGCCTGCATGCATGCATGCATGTGTTTGTGTGTGTGTGCCTGTGTGCGTGTGCGTGTGCGTGTGCGTGTGCGTGTGCGTGTGCGTGTGTGTGTGCGTGTGCGTGTGCGTGTTTCTGGATCTATGTCTCAGGGTCTAGGGAACAGTCCATACTCTTCCTTGGTCCCTAGTAAATGGCATTCTGGGTGGGGGTGGGGCACATGCTAGATACTGAGTGATTGAGAATCAAAGTGCAGGCAGGAAGAAGCCTACAGCAAACCACTCTGTAGGACAACGCTGTCAACAGCCCCTTTCCTAAACGGGCGTGGGAAATTCCCCCTCCCCACTGCCTTTATTTTTATGCTTCTGTGGATGGAATCCAGGGATTTACATGTGATAGGCGAGTGTTCTGCCACTGTGCCATAACCCGGCCCCTGGAGTGTTAAATACTTTGCAAGCTGCTCCTTTTAAACTCTCCATACCACCAACCCATTTAATGACCTAATCACAGCTGTGATTTAATGAGTGATACCCTTGTGACATGAAAGAATAAATGTACAACTTGGTGCCCAAAGGGTATACAACGAGCAGCTTTAGTCAGCCACTTGGCAAAAGCCCGATCCTAATTATTTCCACGGCTTCCTTGTAGGTCTGAAGATGGGGTGGCTGACTGTGTGGGTAAAACATGAGCTGCAGCTTTGATGAAAGCCAAGCCTCTCCGAAGGTGTCCTGACGGCTCTGTAGGGTGTTTGCTTGCTTGCAGACAGCACACTTATCAGATCTGACATCGCAAGTGCAATTCTCTTAAATTGCACATGTCTTCCAATTTCCCTGGGAGCCACAAAAGATGAGTTATATAAGGAACTCTGTTGAACAAGTTAGAAGACAGTGTATAGCCCCAGACTTGCATTCTGAGATCCTAAATAGTAGGATTACCTGAGATGCTAAACGGTTGGAAAGGAAATTGAGTTCAAAGGCAGAATTGTATCTGTAATGACCTGACTTGTGACTTGTGTCTTGACTACCCCACCCCGGGTGGCTCTTGTTTTAGCTAATGTGCATTTAGAGTCGCCTACTCCAGGCAGCTGCATCATAAGGGTCCCCTCCTTCCATCTATTATTCCAAGACCCGAATTTGCGGCCACCTCTTCCCTGCTGGATCCAGGCTCAGACATAGGAATGTGCCAACACAGCAGAAACGGAGCTTTGTTCCCTTCCAGTGGCTTCCTCTGAGATCCCCGGAAGATACAGTAAAGAACAAACTGTAATCGCTGCTAACCAGGTTCCTCATTTCTGGAAAAGAACAGAAATGAGATCAGTAGTACCCTGGGTCTCTGGGTTAGCATCTAAACACTGGCTGCATTTTTCATTTAGGTGATTTTGTGGTTGATTTGATCATCCGAGAGAGTACTGGGCCATTTCAAAGCATTTTCCCGTCCTAAAAGTAGATAGATTTGGGTGTGTTATCTTTTTTTTTTCTCAAAGCTATTGCATTTTACAGATATAATACATTTTTACAGATATAATACATTTTTACATATGTGTGCTAGAGCTTGCTACAATGTGCAAAAGAATTAGCTTCCTACCTTTTCTCCCCTTTTACATAATGTTTCCTCAGAGAGCCTTCGTCTCTTTGCTGGGCAGGCTCCCACTTCCCCAGCCCCTGCCTTATGCCCAGCGGAGCCTGAAGCATCACACCGGGAACTTGGTAGGATTGCAGACACTCTGGTCCAGACCTAGCGTTTCAGTGAGCCCTCCAGCCAAGCATTCTATCTCATGAGTGATTTTCCTTGATTTCTGTGAAACTTTCTTTTACACCCAAGTGATGCCATGGGTTACCTCACCCTCTCCTAGGACAGCACATGAGAGTCTTGAGTAGGGTCCTAGGCCGTGTGTGTGTGTGTGTGTGTGTGTGTGTGTGTGTGTGTGTGTGTGTGTGTGTTTATTTACTTCTGTTTTTGATTCTGTTTTATCGAGACAGGGTTTCTCTGTGTAGCCCTGGTTGTCTGGAACTCACTCTGTAGACCAGTTTGGCCTTGAACTCACAGAGATCCACCTGCCTCAGCCTCCCAAGTGCAGGGAAGGCTAAAGGCGTGCGCCTGGAGTGTTTCTTTACTTTTAAACTGTCCACCATGAGGTGATACTTTGACTATTCCTGATCACATGTTCACGCATGGATTTGCATTTGTTTTCGCCTGCAATCCACTTAGCAGCAGTCTCCATTACATACCAGAGCTGCCAGATTGGAGTTCTTTGCATCACCTCCTGGCACAAAAGAGTCATCTGAGGGCCGGTGAGATAAACGGCCTCTTGCAAGGCCTGCTCTGACCACACACATGCTGTGTACATGCTAGCACACCCCAACCCCTAACACACACATGCTGTGTACATGCTAGCACACCCCAACCCCTAACACACACATGCTGTGTACATGCTAGCACACCCCAACCCCTAACACACACATGCTGTGTACATGCTAGCACACCCCAACCCCTAACACACACATGCTGTGAACATGCTAGCACACCCCAACCCCTAACACACACATGCTGTGTACAGGCTTCTCTGTCAGCCTGTGCTTAGGTAGTACCCTAATCTCATCCCACCTCCTAACCCTAGGGAGCTCTGCACGCAATGGGTCAGACACAGATGGATCCAGGCTCTGGCCCCACAGGCTCGAGGATACCCAATACACTCACAGGTTCTTAACAACCTTCAGTTTCCACTTTGCAAGACCAAGAGTCATAGGACCTCCCCACCTTTGCAATACCCTTAACACAGAGACCAACACCGTACATATGTGATGAGATTTGGCTGTCATTACCCAGGGGTAGTGTGCCCCGTCCCCTTTACTGTCCTGGTCATGGTCATGAGTCTTACCTGCCAGGTCTGTCCTCTCTGACCTTGTGTTGGGCACATGGGCATCTCGGGACTAGTTTCAGAAATCTCTCAAGCTGGGACGAATTTAACTCTCTGTGGAATTCATCTTTTTCTCTGAACATGCAGAAAATGCAACTGCACACAGGAGAACCCAGTGTCGTTCTGAACCAATGATCCTGGAGCCACTTGAAGACAGTGGGTCACAGAGTTTGTGGGTCCTTAAAGGAAAAGCGTTAGGGAATCTGTTAGGAGTAGAGATGGCCACATGGGGGGCAGCTGGAGTGTTTTGGTGGCATTAGGCATCTGAAAAACACGTGATATCAGCAGATAGGGATGCTCGTGAAAGGCCCCTGGCTAGGAGGGAACGCACTCATCCCTACCTGCTAGGTGGGGCCTACCCAGTGTGTTGCACACAGATTCTTGAGCAGGAGCCCTGCGGAAGAGCCTGTGGATCTAAGGGTGGACAAGTTGGTCAGGAGTGTCATAGGGAGGTTTCCTGGGGTGGTATCTGAGAGGGGTGTACCCAGAGAGCCTAGCAAAGGCAGGAGGTGGTACCCCAACAATGGTCATCTGCTCCTGCTGAGAATGTGGGTCTCCTTTTGGGAATCAACCTGATGCTGACTAGAACAAAGCTGTAACATTGAGGGGGGATGCACCAGGCGGTAGGTGCCAGTGGAGACCAAGGTCCTGCTTCTGGAGGCAGGACTCAGCATCTTCTTCTGAAGTGCTTATACGTGTTGCTCAGTAGTTCCATGCCGCAGCTTTTATTTTGGGGAAATAATTAAGGTTGTTTGCAAGGGTGTAGCCTGGAGGGTATTGGACATGAGGCTGTTTATAACAGCGGAATATTTTGTCAACAGCTAAAACATGCACAAGTAAGAAATTTATTAAATAATCACGTGCAGTACATTACATGTGCCTTACATGTTTAGATGAAACAAGCATCGTTTAAATGAGTGCATGTCTTCGCAGCACACACACCACGTGAATGCATGTGTACACACATGCATCCACTCGTGAAGTGTGGTTCCGTCAGAGTACGGAACTAGGGTCAGTGTCTATTAATTTTCCAGAGTGATTGCACTGGTTTTTAATTCGGACAAGTTGATTTTGTGTGTTTGTAATGTGGCCTTGCGTTCAGTAGTTGGTGGTGGGAATTAAAAAGAGAGATCAGGTTCGGAAACAGAGGATCTGTGGAGCTTGATGCCAGGCTGCCTGGGAGGAGCTGGAGGTGAGATGGGATGGGTGAAGAGAGCCCAGTCTCTTGATGGGGAAGAAACTGGGACGTTGAGGGGAAGTGCAAAGCCTCAGCCGTGTTAAGTGGAGCACTGGATATTCTGTCTTCAGGCGGCTCTCAGCATCCCCGTCTCTGGCGGGCACATCCAACTATTCCCTCGGAGACTAAAGTGGCTTAGGTTTTCACCAGTGCATCAGGTTTCCACGCGTCAAACATGATTTGCCTGTCTTCTGATGTGGCAGTTTGTAAATGGACTATCCAGAGTTGAGTGAAATGTACCTGTGTATGCAGAGATACAGCTGTGTACAAAACCCAGCCCTCTGCTGGGTGTCAGTTAGTGCTGCCCACATGGTGGATAACCGCTGCAGAGATTTCAGAAACTTACAGTTACCTCTGTCATTCTTTGACGGCCTCTTGCTGATTGTTTTTGAAAGAATTCTAATGATAAAACATGTAAATCCCCAGCATGTAACCAATGGGTGGTTGAGTTTGGTTCCTCCCTGTTTAGATGGTGAGGTTTGATTTTATGTTTCTAATTTACTGAATTAATTTATACATGATATCATATCTCTGCCGTTCATTGGCTCTGGATTTTTGAAGATGTCATCTCTTTGGACACTCTCACAAGTTGAGCAAGCTCCCTGGAGGAGACAAGACTGGTTTTCTGCTCATGGTGTCAGACATACGCCCCTCAAAGCCAGTTTTGACAGAGTTTTTCTTCTGACCAGCATTCACCGTCCTTACACTGACTCTTTGATCTGATTGTCAGAACATTTCATTTCTCTCTGCTCTGACTTAATAGAGGAGTGATTCTTCACCAAGTCTTTCCCAAGGGGCAGTTCTAAGTATTAATTGGTTTGTAAAGTGCCTTTTGAACTGCTCGGATGAAAGGCCCTGCGTAAATAGCCAACACTATTTGTGGTGCCGACATTGTTGATCGCATTATGGGTGTTTGGGCTCCTGGTTGCTGCTGTCTTTTAAGATGTGGAAGCCTGCATTTGCAAATTTGAAAGTGTTTCCTCTGGAGTTAATTTCTCTAGCAAAGAGGAACTCATTGTAAACGATAGGATGCTGGTGGGAATGATACTTCTTTGGGTATAACACTTCTGGAAGGAGCCGTTACGGAATTATCTGGGTGCCCAGACCTTGGACATGATGTTCAGGAAAAACCCCCTTCTCATCACGGACCAATGACGCTACTGATTAATCCCTAACAGTCCTGACTCTTCTGTACCCAGTGGGTCTTACCCAGGGGCACGTTTGCCAAGACTTGACATTTCTGGTTGCCACAGTTTGGTGTTGCTATGGAGATCTAGAAAGGACACCTCAGGGTTCAAGTCAGCACCCATCATAAAGAAATGCCCGGCCTTACAGGTTAGCAGAGCTGAGGCCGAGGGACTTTCAGGCAACACACAGTAGGAAGTTTCACAACTCCCCTTGGAAAACGACCTTGCCCACCTAGGTTGGCTACCTGTGCTTAATTTAATCCCTCCTCTGGATGTCTTTACAGGTTGGGATTGTGGGGCGAACAGGAGCTGGGAAAAGCTCCCTCATCTCAGCCCTCTTCAGATTGTCAGAGCCGGAAGGGAAAATCTGGATTGACAAGATCTTGACAACTGAAATTGGACTTCATGATTTAAGGAAGAAAATGTCAATCATACCTCAGGTATTCGAGTTCGAATGTCCACACGCAGTTTCTTTTACTGGGGTGCTGAAGTTTAATTGTTTTAATTTTATTGCTAGTTTTTTAATTGGATGAAAGGATTGATCCTCTAACCAATAGCCAATGGGGTATAACTGAGCAGATATTTTCAACAGTTATTTCCATAAATACCTTGTGTGTGTGTGTGTGTGTGTGTGTGTGAGAGAGAGAGAGAGAGAGAGAGAGAGAGAGAGAGAGAGAGAGGGAGACAGAGACAGAGACAGAGACAGAGAGACACAGACAGACAGACAGACAGACAGACAGACAGACAGACAGACAGACTAGGGGAAGACTCAGTGCTATTTACCTGGATTCATCCTAGAATCAGCGTCCTCAGGGGTTACACTTTTATTCATTGATAATTACATAATATTTAGAGGTCAAGATATTGTAAGCATAACGAGGGACTTTTGCTGTAGGCAGTGAGTCTGCCGTTTCCCATTTTCGGGCGAGCATCTCCATGTAAGGTCTTCCTTGAGCGGACACAGGCTGTGAGGGTTACAGAGACTATAAACCCTGTGTACACATACTGAGAATCTCGACATTTTCTAAGTGACTTTAACAGGGGAGGGAGCAGAGTCCTGGGGGAGACTTGGAAAGGTTTGCCTCTCTGTGTACTCCTGCCAGGGTGGCTGTGGCGTCACCTCTGAGAACTGTGCTGAAGGCTAACTGCCTCAGTGCAGGCTGAGCCTCACATCCGCCCAACACCTGGGCACCATGGTGGTGGAGATTTCAGTAGCCGTGTCTCCCTGGGCTGACCATGTGTTCTGTTTTGCTATTTCACAGCAGAAGTCTCTTAGGCAGTGTCTAGAGACTGGATTATACACACTCTAGAAGCTTTTAGTTTAGTTGAGCTTCTTGTTGAGTTGCTTTTAGTTCTACCCAGCATAATTCAGCAAGTCTTTATTGAGTAATTACTATGTTCTAGGTAGACAGCCACAGGCAGCACAGGCCCTGACCCTACAGGCCTGCAGCCTGCAGCTGTGGAGCCGATGCCTTCATCGTGCCCTCAGCTTTGACGAGTGCGTGCACTCAGCTCCAGGCTTGCCGTTTGGGGTTTCTGTTTGGCATGTTTTCACACTCTGTAATCACCTGGCCATCAAGGGGAGCCGAGGAACCCACACGCGTGAACACTCATGCCTAATGTGAGAAAGGCCAAGTAGCCCTGCTCTCTGAGCGTGAGCCCATGGTGGGCCATTAAATGCTTATTATAAAGGACAGGAACTTAACACCCTGAGAGAAGGGAAATGTGGGCCCCGAGCCTGTGGCGTCCTGCAGTTATCACTTCCTACCCTGACCCATGAAATAACAGAACTACAACCTTGCTGTGATGAGGCTGTGGAGAAAGTAGAACTCTGAGTTTTGCTGGTGGAAATGTAAAATGATGCAGCCACTGTAGAACTCACTCTCAAGACTGATAATAGGACTGCCACATTATCCAACAATTCCGTGTGTGTGTGTGTGTGTGTGTGTGTGTGTGTGTGTGTGTGTGTGTTTGCATGCATGCATGCGCGCACGCACACATATGTATATATAAAATGATCAAAAGCAGGGCGTGGCAGAGATATTCACTCCTTTGTGTTTATAGCAGTGGTATTCACAGTAACCAGGAGGTGGAAGCCACCCAAGTGTCCATCAACAGATGAATAGCTAAAGACAGAATAGTTTATGCAAACAGTGGGAAGTTAGTCAGCATCAAGAAGGGAGGAAATTCAGATGCATGCTACAACATGGGCAAGCTCTAAAAGCATGATGGAATCGCAAACCAGTCAGTCACAGAGTAACAGCCAATGGTCTGCTCCTACGAGGAGTGGTCAGATTCATGGAGACACAGAGTAGAGAGGTGTCCGGCAGGAACAGGAAGTGGCTTTGTCTGATGGATGTAGGGATTAAGCTTTTGAGAAAAATAAAGCCCTGTGATTGGTGGTGACCACTACAAAAGAGTGTAAGATTGACCTATGAGCTTTGAAGTGATAAGGAGGGGAGGGGCCCATGAGACAGCTCGGTGACCGAAGACACTTGCGGCTGAGCCTGAGGGCCAAAGTTCCACAAGTTCACCCTGGCACAGGCGTGTATGCGTGCCCTCACACCAGTAAATATAATGATAATAATAGCTAAATGATTAAGGGATAGGTTTCATGTTGTGTATATATTCTGACAAGTTCTTTCGAAAGATCAAACGACAACCCTTTTAAGAAAAGAAAAATAGAAACAGTCTCCCATCCCATGGCCCTCCCCTCTGAGTGCTAGAAATGTGGCTGCAGTTGAAGTAGGAGTTCAAATCCCAGATGCTGTCTGAAGATGTCTTCACCTGATCCCAGGCATGTCCCTAAGTCCTCTCACACGCTTGGATGAAAGGATCTAGAGACGTGCCCCGTGCTACTTCTGGTGCTCCTTAATAAGAAGTGGTTCCATGCTTGTGTACATAAAAGAGCTCTAAATAAAGAAGCAGCGTTAGATGATTCTTGGCTCTGCCAGGAATGTTTTGGAAGCACATCTGAGCAAAGACTGAATACACCTTGACATCACCAGGTTTGGGTCTGTTCCATGAGTTCCCACCCTTCTTTTGTGCGGAAGCTCTGTGGCTCTGCTCCCCAGGACACGTTCACAAAACAGTGCTCACTAAGCTTTGTGTCCTTGTAGACTCTGATCACCAAGCATTGTGAGCACAAAACCCTTCTATGCCTGTCTCCCAGATGTGAGTTGGTTGATATAAGAAATGATTTAGAGACACCGTGCAGCGTATAAAAGGCTCAGAATAGCCTGTTTCAGGGTGTGAGCTTAAAGTCAACACGTCCTGTATTTTCATCCCTCTCTGACTGCCACAGATGTGTGGCCTTGGTGAAGTCACCTTACCTAGCTCTGGAGGCTTAAGGCAGGTCTAGTAGTTACCTCACGGCTTCTTCATGGAGGATCAACTACACAGGAAACAGGTGATCTGATTCATGGTTCCTAAAAACGCTCAGTAAAGGACTATATCATTAAGGACTATAATAATACTGGCCTTTAGGTATATCGCACATTCTAGAAAGACTTGGCTCATTAATTTCAGTTCAGGATGCTGTGTAATCCCTGGTGATTTTCTTTAAATCAAGTGATTTATGTAAATTAGAGTTAGTAGGACAGGAAAAAAAAAATCATCAAATTCCCAAACCTCCAGACATTACTCAGAGACCTACAGAACTTTGTGCATGCACACAGAGTTGGAGTTTGTGGTAGAAACCTGACAAAGCGAATGTTTTCCTCACAAGAACAAAGCTTTCCCCAACGCCTGCCCTGTGCGCTTTAACGCCAGCCAGCCGTGGGAGCCCCTCTGTGTCTGTTCTCTGCCCGGCCCCACCCGCCCACATTCTTCACAGCTCTCTAGCCCTCAGTACTACTCCGTTGGCTGCTCTAAATGTCTGCTGCAGCCAGGACAGGCTACATAAGGAGACATGGGTCCCTCATGTTTACCGTTTTCCTGACCCCTCAGCCCTCCCAAAAATGCTGTTGTCACCCTCACGAGTCACATATGGAAATGAGGGCACAGAAGCTGCGGAGCCAGGGGTGAGATACTCCCATGTCCTGATGCTCTGCACCTTTCTGCCTGCTTTAACCTTGTTCTGTGGTCAGCCAGTGGGATGAGCTCCAAACTGTCTCCTGATGCCTCGTGGGTCACGTGAGTGCCCACACACACCCACATGCCCAGAAACAAACGTCTCATAATGCACTATTACTCCCCTGTGCACCACGGTATTTTCTATTCTATTTATTCTCGTCTAGTTCATATAAAAGACAAAATGATGATCACCAGCCACAGAACTGATTTCATGAACCACTGGTCATGCCTGTCCCTTTGAAAGTGCCGTGCCCGCTGCCCGGCCTGTGTGCCTGCTGCCTGTTAACACCCTGGGGAAGGGGAACCTTTGTCACAGCAGCCCTAAAAATCAAGAAGGGCAAGGATGGAAGCTGAGCCTGGAGTTTTATACCTCATCATTATCTTACATGGTAGAAGCCTCAGAACTCTGCACTGGCGGCTCTCCCTTTTTTTCTTGATGAATGTTTAAAACCAATTGATTGTCTTGTCAGATATTTTAGCCATTGTCTTTCTACCCACCCTACCTAGAAAGGGCTCCCAAAACTATAGCCAAAGAAAATAAAGTCAGAAGTTAAATCAAGCCAGCAGGCATCTTCTCCCAAGGATCTTGGCACCACCAGACAGCTCTGAAAAGACTGGTTTGTGAAGATTGTTTGCCAGAAAGATTCAAGTGACACTCAGCACAAAAAGAAAATCATTGTAGAAAACAGAATTCACTGGGTGTCGTGGACTAACGGAGTGCCAAGGTGCGGCTCATCCATGGCCACAGAGCCGGTCCTTGCATGTACAGGATCTCGGTGGAGACAGAGAAAGCCTGTCATCAGAGTGACTTGTCAGGTGTCCCACGTCCCTAAATGAGCAGGGCCCACAGCTGACTGTGTTGCAAATGAAGCAGAAGGGAAGTGATTTGCAGGTCCATATGGGGCCTGGGCCAGCATCTTCCGGGGAGCAGCAACTTCCTGCTCTCCTCCAAGTCCCTTCCTTGGTTGATGGTGAAGCCCCTCCTTCTTGAGCCTCCCAGGCTGATGGTGAAGCCCCTCTTTCTTGAGCCTCCCTGGTTGATGGTGAAGCCCCTCTTTCTTGAGCCTCCCAGGCTGATGGTGAAGCCCCTCTTTCTTGAGCCTCCCTGGTTGATGGTGAAGGCCCCTCCTTCTTGAGCCTCCCAGGCACAATTCAGAAATAGGAGTTAAGGACCAAGTGGGCTCCCAGGAGCAGTGACAGATTCTGAAGCCTCTTTAAGGAACAAATACTTGGCCTTTGAGGAGTCATGAACCAAAAACGGTGCAAAGAAGGTAGCCTGGGAAGCCACCTGTGGGACTTCATTGGGCAGAACAAATGGCGGACGCCTATACTTCCTGTGTACCCCCAGAACTTTGCAGAAGAGAGCCCCCAAGATGAGCCCAGCTTCGGGGGAAAGCTTCTCAGAGAGCATCTGTAAACACAGATTTCAATTTTTTCCTGGATGGAAATTCCTTACAATCAGAGCCCTGTCTTTTTGGCACCAAGGAAATGTTTTCAACCAAAGAGCAATTCTCAGCAAATTTCCCATTTACAATTGCACCTAGGGGTTGATGTGTGCTAACAGCTATAATCTTTATCATGATCAAACAGATTCTTTTTGTGTTTTTAATAGATTCCTTTTGTTTGTACCAAAACAAAAAAGCCGGGTGCTTTTTTTTTTAAACAGCCAACTCTATTTTTGTTTTTTAAACTCCCCTGAGCTTTTAATGAGTTTAAAAGGTTAACCAGAGGTGTCTCTTTAAGGTCCCTTTCTGATTTCGTGTGTGTGTGTGTGTGTGTGTGTGTGTGTGTGTGTGTGTGTGTGTGTGTGTGTGTGAAGAGGGAAGGTTTGCTGTTACTAGTAAAGAAATACAATTGGACCCTAGCCTAACGCACTTTGCCTTTGTCCCTGCACACTGAAGCCTTCATTAAATCCCACTGCACTGTTCCCTGGAGCTGGTGACCTTTTTGTATTTAAAGACGACTTTACAGGACTTAAATTCTTCTTCCTTTGTGGGCGAACAATGTTCTTTTCTTCTGAAAACGCACAATCATCGGTTCATTCAGAGGCTACAGGATTAAAAGAAGAACCTGAGACTGAGTGACTTCAGATGACTCCACCGTTGAGACTGAGAAGGATGCTTCCCAGTAAGGATCTGGAAAAGAAGAAGGGAGCCAGGAAGACACATCGAAACAGCAGTTTAGCTCCTGTTGTAGGAGAGGGAGTTTCCTAGTTTGTGCCCCCAAAAAAGATTAGAGCGAGTGCTGAACTTCTGTTCTTTTTTAAGTTTTCGTCTTGGTCCCTGGTTGGCTTAAGTGTGTGAAGTGTAAAGGGTTGAGTTTCTCCCTAACATAACAGAGGCCTGGCTTGCAGTCAGTGCATTCAAAAGTCTCTAGTTTTCAGGACTGAAGACTATCAGCTTACTACCCCAGATGCTGTCCTTAGACGGGCCACTTCGGGGTGACACGCTATGAGCTGTGGTAGCAACAGCCAAATGTTGATTGCTGAATATGGCGCAGAATAAAACTTACTGGTGAAGAAACAAACCTGACGCCAGTCTTCTGATTGTCTTGCTGCACTGAAAGCTTGCATTTTCTTTTCCTGACTTCGCCATGCTGGCTAACTGAAGGTAAAAATGAAACTCATACTAAAACCTGTGTCATCAGAGAAAATACACCAGACTAATAAATTAGGTTGTCGGTTCCTCCCATTGATCCCCACGTGAAATCTTCCGCCTGCAAACGTCTTTTACAGCCCTTATTTATGAAACTAGTCTGTGAACTTCATTGCACGGAGGTGGGTGCTTTAAATAATAATTCTATCGGAAATGATAATTAACTTGACCCTTATCTCCTCCCTCAGTGTGTGTCTACCGTGAGCACGTTTATTACCTTTTGAAGATAATATTAGGGCTTTTTATTTGGCAAGTGGATAAAGGAAGTGAACCCCGTGCACAATACATGTTGGCATAGTAAAACAGCCATTGTGAACAAATTGCCTGCTAGTCTTAAAGAAAATGTAGCTCCAACCAGTTATTGTTGTATTAAATCATTTTCCCTGTTCAACAAGTCTTGATGAAATTTTACTTTTGAAATATGTATCCAGCCTGTCGTAACTAAGAAAATTGTTCTATTTACTTAATTATTTTTTTGCAGGTTGCTAAATAAACAAGAGTGATTGCCCAATATTCCCTTTAAACTGACAGTATAGACTTAAGGGAGACCCTCATTTTAGTAAACAGTGATCAGCCAAGCCTCCCAAGCCTCCTGCTGAGGCTGGCATTTAGAACATGCTATAAAGCAGGTGTTCATGACCTGTGGCTTGATGACGCCCCTGTGCTGTGAGGGGTCTCACATTGTCCTCAGATGTACCCATATGAAGGAGTTTCCTAGGGGAGAAGGGTGAGAATAAGACAGGCGGGGGGCCTGCTCATGAGATGGGGTGTCGGGTCGGAATTGTGCATTGCCATGGCTGTCCTCTAGAGCCACCCAGCCACCATTCTACCTGGGCTAATTATGGACATTTATTTCATCATGAACAAGGCTGTCAGTCCCTATATTAGTGCTCAGGACAGGGCATCGTGAGTCCAGGAGATCTGTGCCCAAGTCTAGACCTGACCTATCGGATGTGATTTTACTGTTTGAGAGGAACCTCAGGGGCAAACTGTTGAGGTAACATCGGCAATCCTGGGCAAGGAGAATGACCTGTCTTTAGTACAGAGAGGCCTGCGAGCTGACTCCTGACCATGTTTACCTCTGTAGCTCCTCACATACTTGTCTTAGAGCTGCTCCGTTGGGGCCCCTGAGTGTCATACCAGCCGTGGTGTCATACCAGCCTTTGTGGGCAGGTCGGGAGAGCATCAGAGAGAGGAAGTATGGCTAGTGTGGGCAGTTAGGAAAGACGCTAGCCAGCAGAAAGTGAGCCCTCATATCAGCAGGCAAGAGAAGTCACCTGTTCCGGGATCTCTGAGTGTGTGTCTGGGTGTGGGTCTGTGTCTGGGGGGGGGAGGGGTCTGTGTGTGTGTGTGTGTGTGTGTGTGTGTGTGTGTGTGTGGTCTGCTTTAAATCTGAGGTCAGTAGAATGACATTTGTTCCCAATAAGAAATTCCCACCATATGTAGATAGCTATTTAGACTTTCTTAAATTCTGTAAGCATAACCTTAGATTAGCCTCTTGTGTTCCTTCAGCTCAATTCAGTAGCCATTTTCAAATTTCTTGTGGCAGCTCAATCAACTTTGCACAAATCAAATATAATGATAGTGTGTTTAGTTTGGGATTTTGCTGAAGGTACCTATGTGGGGGTGGAACACCACTGGCCTCCTACATCCATATTTTTCTCCCATCAGTCAAACATTAAGAGGCGTGTGACAGTATCAGTCTTTGGAGTAAAGGCCTCCTCCTCAGTCTTTGACATGTTAAAGTCCCTGCCTCAAGGCTAGGTGGCGGCTCACACTTCTAGGACCCACAGAAGAGCCATAGCTTCTCAATTTCCATATCTGTGCCTTTCATGGTTCTTTAGGTTCTCTGAAAACAGCCCATTGGGCTCTTCTCCCAGCTCATGTCTGGGCTGTTATATTGTTAGAACCTTCCAGAAGGAAATCCGCACAGCCTTCTTAAGATGCTCCTTTAAATCGAGAAGGCAGTTTGTGATTCAAGAGCAATTCAAGAATGTTACCATTCTTGCTTCAAAGTTTCAGGTGGCCTTGCCCTTGTAGTTAATGATGAGGTTCCATGAGACAGTCAGCCCTGACCCACCGACAAGGTATGTGGGGACTTTAATGCAACATCAGAGGCCATTTCTGTGATACAGGTGCCACTGGCCCCATTAGTTGACATCCGCTTTGACCAAAGAATAGAATGTGTCCCAGAGATTCAGTCCCGGAAGGAAGACTCTTTATCAAAGGAGAAAATACTGACTGGTTTCCACCTCCAGCACGAACTTCAACTAATCATGCTATTTCTTGTCTTCCAGAAGCCTATCTGTGTGGCCATATATTGTTTATGACTTATTAAAGCCACTGGAGATCAAAGTAGCAAGACAGCCACATTAGTTAGCTATAGAAGCCAGACGGTGGTGGTGTCAGGATTGATCCGTGATTTTTATAGTTGGGTTGATGTCATGTTACTCAAATAAATATATCTGTGTTTATTTGTAGGAAATTGTTTTTAACAACAGGAACTCCCCTTTCCCTCACTTCCTTCCTAAGATGCCATGCTTTCTTTTGCTCTAGGAAGATATTTTAGATCACATTTTGCATGATGGGAAATTATAATAGAGATGACATCCTGTAAACAAATGTGTGGAACCTTAGAATTAATGATTGTAGTGAATTTGGGAGCTTTTGTTTGCCTTTCTATTCTGTTCTGAAAGTCAGATGCAGTGGTGCCACTCACTCTTTTGGGCTCCTAGGAACCTGTTCTGTTCACTGGAACAATGCGGAAGAACCTGGATCCCTTCAATGAGCACACGGATGAGGAGCTGTGGAACGCCTTAGAAGAGGTAACTTCTGCAATGCAATTTTCTCTCATCGTTAGCATCTGTGTACGTGCATATGTTCAGAGCATTCCAGGGGAGCTGTGTGGGGGAGCTTATTGCTTGAAGTACCTTTATTTGACAATTTGGGGAGTATTGGTGATATGGACGGGTGTAAAGTATATGTACCTCCTGTTACATTTTAATTTTCCCAAACCAGGCTCGGCCACCACAGTATCTTACTTGCCCTTTGCAGATCTCAAATTCTCCTAGTGACGAAATGTCCTAAAGGACTAACTATGAGCATTCTCCCCGGGGGCAGACACACACAAACAGTGTCTACCCACTCAGCACCTCATAGGGTCCCAAACAAAACAAAGTTCATTTCCACCAAAGATCCCCCTGGGGAGCCAGTGGCTCTATTAGGTTTACTCACAGAGCATGGATGAGGGTTTTACAGGCAGAAGTATGGGTGACCCTACGTCAGCCACTCTGGACCGTCTGCCTCCAATGTGGATGTTGGCTTCTCTGTGGCTTTATAGCGGGAGTCCCCCTCCATCAGCCTCCCCCAGCCGATGTAGTCTAGCTTTTCCCAGAAACCCCCAAGGCCATGTGCGGTCAGGGCAGAATTGCATACAGATGAACAGAAGGAGTGGCTAGAGCTTTATGTGAGGGTCCAATGCCCCCACATTCCCTCCTTCTTTGGGGGACTGTCGCCAATGGCTATCATGATTGACACTTGTAAGTAGGCACAGCTGAGCTGATGAAGATGGGCTGTCTGCTTGTAGAGCCATTTGTCTCACTGACCTATTTTGGGGAGCATCTAGGAAAATGAGGCATTTGTTTTTATTATTAACTGAAAGAAACATGAGATCATACTTGCACCGTGCTTTGGAGTCTCAAAAGAAAGTGTTTATAAGGGCAAATTATACTATGAAAGTGATACTTATTGACAAACCTGTCATTGTGACGTCACAGGGCGAGCAGCTAACAGACTCCTGGAGCCTTGGCCGAGTTACTGTATTGATACCTTTAATCTTGGAGGATTTTCTCATTATTTGTGTGGTGCATCCCTGCGGACCGCTTCCTAGGCAAGGATTTTGACCATTAAGGTGCTTCTGGGTTATGTGTTTAGAGATAATTGTTTTGCAAGTTCACACTAGTTCTGCAAATTAATTGTAAGCCGCTTAATACTAGAAATCGTATCTTAGACGGTAATCCCTCCTAGGGCCTGGTCCAGTCTTTCACGTTTAAAACATATGCATTTAATAAATACAGAGTGGCTGGCTGATCTCTTCATTTTGGAGAATCATGGTTTATTTCTTAAACACCCCAAACCTCAGGGATCAGTTTCCCACTGTCATTAGCACTGTTGTTATTTTGAGGTAGCCCATTTGTCCCTGCTGCCCTCTCAGGTAAGCTCCGAATCCTTTAACTTAGATGGGGTCTGACTGTGAGCATTCACCAGTTTGGAGGCCTGACAGCTTCCTGCCGGTGATTCTTGCTTCTGAAGGCAGCTCAGTACCCAGTCACTGCACACCCCCTGCTCCCCAGCAACTGTGGGGATTCTGTTCTCCTGTCTTGGGCTGGCTACTTCACCAACCCCGTCTCGGATGGCGGCTGGCCTCTGGCTGAATGAGAGTCCATGAGACTTTGGTGTAGGGAACGCTAAGAGAGAAGACGTAGGGAGAGGACAGTTACAAGACAGGACAAAGCAGCAGCAAGACCGTGACACACCCTGAGAAAACAGGAATTACTAGTAAATAATTTCTCTCTTCACTTCAGAGCTTAAATTTCTCTGCAGAGATTCTCAGATAGTAAAATCACTTTAGAAACACATTGTTCTGTGAGCAGCAAAGAGATGTTAATCGAGAGCCAGTCCAATCAAAGGCGTCGTCAAACTTGGCTGTCTTACACCTATTTTCATCTGTTATAAACCAAATGAAATTTTAGTAGCTTCTTCCCCCGGAAGCTGCTGTTAATAGACATGAGAAAAGACACAGACAGACCTGTGTTCCAGCATAGTGGGCGTCTGCACACTGCTTCTGGGTTTCCCTCACGCATCGTGGTGCCTTGTGGAAGCACAGCATTACCCTGTCATGGTTTTGCCAGCACTGCTTTGCCTTAGCTATACTTTCAGACAGCAGAGTTGGGTATTTTCTAAAAGTTAAAATCAATAATTCCTGCTGCCTCCTCGTGTGTGTGTGTGTGTGTGTGTGTGTGTGTGTGTGTGTGTGTGGTGTATGTGGTGTGTTTGTGTGTGATATATGTGTGTGTGTCTGTGTGTGGTGTGATGTGTGTGTGTGATGTGTGTGTGGTGTGTGTGGTGTGTGTGTGTGGTGTGATGTGTGTGTGTGATGTGTGTGTGGTGTGTGTGGTGTGTGTGTGTGGTGTATGTGTGTGTGGTGTGTGTGTGTTGTGTGTGTGTGGTGTGTGTGTGGTGTATGTGTGTGTGGGGTGGGGGTGTTGGGGGGGGGTGGTGTGTGTGTGGGGTGTGGGGGGGGTGTGGGGGGGGGGGGGGGCGGGGGGTGGGTGTGGGGGGTGGGGGTGGGGGTGGGGGGGGGGGGGGGTGGGGGGGGGGGGGGGTGGGGGGGGGGGGGGGTGGGGGGGGGGGGGGGTGGGGGGGGGGGGGGGTGGGGGGGGGGGGGGGTGGGGGGGGGGGGGGGTGGGGGGGGGGGGGGGTGGGGGGGGGGGGGGGTGGGGGGGGGGGGGGGTGGGGGGGGGGGGGGGTGGGGGGGGGGGGGGGTGGGGGGGGGGGGGGGTGGGGGGGGGGGGGGGTGGGGGGGGGGGGGGGTGGGGGGGGGGGGGTGTGTGTGTGGGGTGTGTGTGTGTGTGTGTGTGTGTGTGTGTGTGTGTGTGGTGTTGCTCTGTGTTATGGGAGAATGCCAATGCACTTGTGTGTACATTGTTGTGGAGGCCAAAGGTTAACTCTGTAAAGATGACTTTCTCACTCACTAACTGCCTTATTTTCTGAGAGAGTCTCTCACTGAATCTGGGGCGAACCAATTAGGCTGAGTCACTGACCAGCAGGACCCCGGGGTCCTCCTGTCTCCCCTTCCACAGAGCCATGATTACAGGCCCGTCCCACTACACCCCTTGCTTTTGTATGTGGGCTGGGAACTCAATGACAGGTCCTCGTGCTTTAAGCAGGCCCTTGACTGACTGAGCCATCCCCCTGTTACACATGTATTCTGAGTCATGTGACCTGAGAAATCTTGTCACCACGCTATTCTCATTGCTTGTGTGGGGGTCATCAAACAGCAAGTGAGTCTTTGGAGGCTTTTGTTTTGTTTTGTCTTGTTTCCCCGTCTCTCTTTCTCTTTTTTAATTACTTCTTTTCTGAAAATTTCAACTTCCTGTAATGCGTTCAGATTCTCTTTTCTTCTGGATGGTGAGAAGTCCAAGTGTTCTTAGAAGATGAAGTGCGGTCATGTTTTCCTGGCAGCAGTTGGAGTTGTGTGACCACGAGTGTGTGGAGTGTGTCCTTCTGACAGGTCAGGAAGTCCCCGTCTGGGATGACAGTGGGCACCACTTCCCCTCGGAGTCAGAAGCTGATGGTGTGTGTTTACCTGGGGAGGTGCCCTGGAAGCCATTCGGCCATGCTCAGGGTCAGGCAGGTTCCCTGGGTCTCTCTATTGCATTCTCTCTGTTGTCTCTATGGTGTTTTCTTTACATCATATCTAAACCAGAGCAAATTCTGCTGCCATGAATGATAGAAAACTGATGGCCTTGCCTGATCTTTTTAAAGTAAACTAAAACTTGACTGTGGGGCTACGGAGTTAATGATAACCTGTGTAAGAAAACAGAAAGAGAGAGAGAGAGAAGAAAGAGGGGCCAACCCAAGCATCTCATCCTTTTATTAATGATGATAATGCAATGGGGACCCAAGCCATGGGGTTCATTTGAGTGTCCTTCGGACAGCACTGCCAGTCTGTTTTTAACAACTTCAAGTAGAAAGAAAAGTCCTCCAGTTCTTGCTAATATCAGAGACCAAAACAAAACAACAAAAAAAAATAGGTTTGGCATTCAGAAGAGAGACTGTCTGGTGAATATTGTTCATTTTGTTTTTTTTTTATCTTTTTGAATATATGAAAGTTGCCTCCAAATAGTAAGCTAATAACAAATATTGCTACTCTTAGCACGTGCCAGAGCATCCGGGAAGCAGTGGCAGCTCTCTATAAAAAGACAGAAGCGGTAACTAAAGATGGGGCCCGCCACTTGATCACAGCACTTAAGACTGACAGTGAATCGACCACTTGTTATTTCTGGTGTAAGTCAACATGGACACCGGGAGCAGACTGTGCAGAATGGTGTGTGTCAGTGGGTGTGACACTCATTTAGTTAGGTTCCCCATGGATGGCGTCTGTTAGGATGCGGTGTGTCTCTGTGTACAGGCATCTGAGCGCCAGTGAGCACCCATCAGGAAGTGGAATGGGCTCCATTTTCTCGTGACTTCATTCAGTGATGGCCTTTCTAGCTCTCTGCAGCACAACAGCCTTTCTTGATGTAAACTCAGTGAGTGTGTCGGTTTCTTTTCTGTTGCTGTGATCAAACCCCCGGGTGAGATGCATTTTGGAGAAGAGAGGGCTCATTTCAGTTCACTGTTCCAGAGGGATAGACTTTCTCACACCAGTGCAGGTGTGCAGCAGACAGCAGGATCACATTTTCATCCACACGCAGGAAGGAAGCAGAGAGAAAGAACAGGAAGTGGGGTGAGGCTATACGCCCTCAAAGCCCACCCACAGTGACCTCCTCCACCAAGACTGCACCTCCTAAAGGTTTTATGGCCTCCCTAAGCAGGGACACTGATGGGGACCCAAGTGTACCAATACACGAGCCTGAAAGTGACATTTCTCCTTCACATCACCACAGTCAGTTTCAGGGAAAGTAGAAACAGAGTCCAACACCCCTGTCAATCTGCAGAGGACTCTGGCATGTCTTCCATTGGGAGCACATAGTAGGGAAAATATTTGTAATGATAGCTTCAGGGAATTTACAAGTATTATCTGTTTTGTTGTATTTTACTGTTTGTCCAAACTTAAAATATAATCTGAAGTGTTCTGTGCTGAAGTAAATAGTTTAGAGTATAGTTGGATTATTTTTCCTGAATTTTTAAGTGTCTTTCATACTTCAAGTATGACTATTATGATATTCTGGGGCCAATTAATTTTTACAAGCCATGTGTTTCTTTTACAATGCCATTTAATGTGATTGTATTATATGTAAAGTATATAGTCATATGAATTTATTTTCTAACGTGTAGAAACAGATATGGGTGAAACATACTTGTGGCTTCCGTCACGTATTTGAACAGTTACTTATTGAGAGCTTTATTATGTAGGCATTGTGGATTCTTAAGCTATTACAGTAATCATCCAGATAGACAAAACACTCCCACTTGGAGCTGAGATTCTCGTGGAGAGGTTAGGACATAAGTAAATGGTTATGCATACAAAACGAAGATTAATAAATGCAATAAAAAGCAGAACACGAAGAGAGCCAGATGACGTCGCTATTAGTAAGAGGTAACGCCGATTGATCTCTTTGTAGCAAGCACTGCTGTAAATACTTACATGCACTGACTCATTTTATATCCCAGCAAACGGCGTTTGGAGATAGACATCTTAGTTATGATAACATTGTGTTTCATTTGCAGGCGAGAAAGCTGAGACAGGAAAAGTCAGGAATTTGTCATTGGCAGAGCCAGGTGGAACTTAAACCCAGGCTTCAAAGGTTTACAGTTTTCATTTTACAGGTTTAAAATCTGGGCTAGGGAGATAGCTCAGTTGACAAGGGACTTGCCTTGCAAGCATGAAGACCTGAGTTCGAGCCCTAGAGCCCACTGATTGTAGCTCTCAATGAAGTTGACTGACCCTTTGTTCTGAAGCTCACAGGGATAGCCCAGGTTTGGCCTTTGTTCTATAAAATTTCTTCAGAGCAAATATTCACAGGACTGAACTACAACCCAATGATGTAGTATGATGTCTTACTAGACAAGTGTTTCAAAGATAGGTAACTAGAAGTATATCATAGACGGGACAATAAGATGGTAGGTTATGGTTTGTCGTTCACAGTAGAACATCCATAAGACTGAAGTAAATGCCCTTGGTAGCTTTTGTGATCAGAGATTGAACTTGGGAAGGAACACGCTCCAGAGTTCCTGATATTGAAGAAGTAGTTCCCACCTGTGTGAGCTTCTTAAGACTTTTCTGGTTAATTAAAATGTTTCAAAATCGTAGGCTACCTCCAGTATAATTTCTTAGAGGGCTGTGCTTCCTATAATAGCTCCTATGCAGAACGTCTCTTGGGGAACTTGGCCATAGTGATCCTGTTTTGCCTTTTCAAAAGTACATCTCCTGCATGAGAAGAGCTTAGTTCCTGAGAGACTTCCATGATTTCTGGAGAAAGGTTCTTGGTGGGTGTCATGTGTCGGGAAGGAAGTTAGGGTGACAGGGCAGGTGGCTCTAAAATGCACCAATTTCACTGAGGTCTAATTTACGTAACAGGAAGTGGTCCCTGTAGAAGTGTGGCTTAACGATTTTGACACATCTGTAGAGTTGGGTCTTCACAGTGATCAGGGTTTTAGTGTTCCGCTGACTCATTATATTAACCTGTTCAATCACTGCTCTGCCCTGATTTTGTCTCTGTAAACTTCTGCAGCTTTCTCTGAACTAACCAACCAGTAAGAAGGGACGTTCTCAGGCTTGTAGAGATGACTCATTAGTTGAGAGCACTTGCTGTGTTGCAGAGACCCCAGGCTCTTCTCCACAGCGGGCAGCTCACAATCACCACTAACTACAGCTCCAGGGGATCTGACGCTCTCTTCAGGCCCCCACGGGACCTGTGTTCACATACACATAACTGTACACACACAGTCACAGATGCAGACACACACGGGGACACACAGACACACACACACAGACACACACACACACACACACACACACACACACACACACACACACACACACATGCAATTTGAAAATAAAGTTAAATCTCTGAAAAGGCACATTCTCTGACTTGCTGTGTTTTACCTTGGGAGTCATTTTACATGCACCACCAGTGCTAACTCACGATGCAGGACCAACAGACGATGAACATCAGTGGTGGCTGTCAGCATCATGAGACATCTGTGAACAAGTTCTTCAGAGTCCTGGGGTTGAAGAGATCTGTTCAATAGTTTAATTTATGAAAGTGCATTCTTCTCTCTACGTCTGTAGGTACAACTTAAAGAGGCCATTGAAGACCTCCCTGGTAAAATGGATACTGAGTTAGCAGAATCCGGATCCAATTTTAGTGTTGGACAAAGACAATTAGTGTGCCTTGCGAGGGCGATTCTCAAGAAAAACCGGATATTGATCATTGACGAGGCAACAGCAAACGTGGACCCAAGGTACAGAGCTCAAGTGGATGCGTTGAGAGGCTGAACTCTAAATATGGCCCCGGGGAAGGACTTAATGACGCTCTGGAATGTGTCTGGGTGTGTGATGCACTAAGGTTTCAAGCACAGAATTCCCTATATACTTATAAAATTGTCTCCTGCCTGTGCATACCTGATCATGTGCAAGCAACTTTGCCAGAATACAGGATCCACACCACTTTAGATTCGGAGCATTCCAGAGAGCAGTGCTCAGCTTGTGTTCAGGCCTTCTGAGTAAATCAGAGCCCTCAGTGCCAGCTCTGTTTCAAACAATTCGGAGAGGAAATCATTTGCATTCTTTCTAAGCTGACTTTTTAGATTTTAGGTTTTTTTAAAAGAAGGGACGGTGTGGCTGTGCGTGCCTGTAATCCTAGCACATGGAAGCTTTACGAAGGCTCTGGGTTTCAAAGCCACCTGAGTGACGTAGTGAGTTCAAAGCCAGCCTGAGCCGTCTAAAACTTAAATATAATAATAGTTAATAATAATAACAATAAAGGAATGTAAAAAACATGGTTAAGGACCATGTGAACTTTTAAGTCTTTTCTCCTCTTTGCTGATTCCAGAACTGATGAGTTAATACAACAAAAGATCCGGGAGAAGTTCGCCCAGTGTACAGTGCTCACCATTGCTCACAGACTGAACACCATCATTGACAGTGACAAGATAATGGTGAGTCCTCCCCAGTGGCCGCCATAGAGTCCTCCCCAGTGGCCTCCTTAGAGTCCTCCCTAGGAGCAGCCATGTGTGCTCTGACTTTCCTTCCTTGAACAAGCTGACAGGAACCCCCAGCAAGTTAATCCATGGTTGGTTTTTCTCTTATTTCCAACAGTACTTCAAGTGTTTAAGTGTACACTCAGGGCTACCAGACTGTCTACCCTGGTGTACTCCTTTGTGTACCTCTATGCCTGGTGTTTATACACAGTCTACCCTGGAGTACTCCTTTGTATACTTGTATGCTTTGGTGTATTTGCAGGACCATTTTAAGATGAATTTTGCCCCAATGAGAATGTGTCAAACATAAGCAATGAATTATGATAGTTTCATTCTCCAGGGTGGTAGGACAGTGTCATTTTGTGCATGTCACCTTGTTTTGGTTTCCCTTGATCAAAAACTAATCTTTCTGGGGCTGGAGGAATGGCTCAGTAGTTATGAGCACCGTGCTGGTTACTTTTTGTTCCATAGTAAGCTAACCTCAGTTCCTGGCACCCATATGTAGAGAAATGGGAAGGCTGAAAAAAAATCACTAGTGTGATTATTTGGGGGGGAGGGTGTAAGAGTTTGCTTTCTATTACTCTAATAAACACCATGACCAAAAGCAACATGGGAATAAAGGGTTTATTTCATCTTACACTTTGTAGTTCATCATGGGGGGAAACCCAGGGCAGAAAGCTGAGGCTGAAACAGAAGCAGAGGCCATGGAGGACTGGCACTTCCTGGCTTGTTCTCCATGGCATGGCTTCCTCAGCCTGCTTACACAACCCAGCACCACGCTTAACCGGTAGATCCTTGGCACATAAATTGCTGTTTCATGCAGTTTACCTACCACCATCAGGGAAGGACAAAATCTTGCAGAAATGTCAGCTGGTCACTTCTAAATCTCCTCAGTCACTATTTGACCCACAGGTGTGAACATCTCGTTCATACATACCCCTTCACCAATCAGCTTTGTTGCCGTTGTCAACAATGTTTAATGTTTTTGCTTACTAGTGTCTCCCGGCAAATCTTCAGAGCCTGTTTTTTCTCTCATTATCTATGGCTAAATCCTTAGCTTGCTTTGACACAGCAGGTTATAATCTAGCTCTCCCCTCCCTTCTTAGCTCATCCCCTGCTATGGATGAAGCCACAGTGATGTTCTCTTTGTCCATCAGTGTGTGTTTGCCATCTTTGTGACAATTGTGTGCTATTCTCCTCCTGAATATTGGCAGCTTAGACTGAGATGCTAGCAGTGAAGAGAGAAGGGAATGTGTTTGGGAGAAACTGCACAAATGAAATATGACTTGAGAGGAGAGAGGAGTCTGTGTTGGCTTTCAAGAGGAAAACCTGAGCTCTGAGATGCACCCATGAGACCCAGGGAGAAGGAGACTTGGAAGAGGGGTCTCCTTGAGCGTGTCACCATGCATTTCCCTTGGCATTGCCCCTGATAACTCAAAACTCCAAGATGGGCAAGTCTTCAAGGTAGAGTTCAATGACCACAGGCTCAAAAGCATCATCAGAGGAAATCCACCAGGAGATGGAGGTGTTGTCATCTGAGCACTTTCTCTTGTAAGAACTCAGGCAGCCTGTACTTACAAAAGTGGGGTCTTGGATTCCGATATGTTCATCCAGGTTGTAACTTCTGTCTTAGTCTGATCATGCCTCAACTCTCAATTCAGTAGAATGCCAGTGCCTCTGCCAGCTTTCTGTTACTGTAACAAAATACTGAAGATATTTTCTAAAATAAAATATTTGGGACTTTCAGTCTGATGATCTGGCTCTGTGGTAAAGTGGTGCCTCGTAGGGGATGTGCAGCCAAGCAGAGCTCTTTACCCACGACCAGGGTGCAGCAGAAAAGCAAAGGAAGAAGCCAAGACCCCACGGTTCCCTTCACCAGCACACACGCAATGTCCAGCACCCCCCCACACACACAGTAGCATCCACCTCGTAAAGGTTCTACTGATTCCCAGTTAGCACCACCCCAGTCAAAGTTTGAAGCAGTTTTTGCTCCTTATCTGGAAAACACGCTTCCTGTTCTGTTATTCTAAAACATTAAAGCACACTCATGTGTCTTAGTTACTGTGAAGATACACCATGACCAAGACAGTTTTAGAGGTCTAGTCCATGAACACCATGGTGGGAAGCAGACAGCGTGGTTCTGGAGCAGTAGCTGAGAGCATTACGATCTCATTTGCATGCAGGGAGAGCAGGGGACAGACTGGGCCTGGTGTAAGCCTTTGAAACCCCAAAGCCTCCCTTCCACATCCCCCAGTAATGCATCTCACCCAAACAAGGCCACACCTCCTAATCCTTCCCAAACAGTTCTGCTAACAAGAGACCCAGCATTCAAACATATGAGTCTAGGGGGGCCATTCTGGTTCAAACCATCACAACATGTCAATCCATTGCCAAGCCTAATGCACCAGAGGGCAGGGGCCAGGCTGGGGGAGTGGCCGTGGAAGTGACGCCCGTGAAGGCCCTAAGCAACAGCGTGTCACCATAAGGTGTGTGATTACAAGTGCTTAACGTGCAGTAATTGCATCCCATTGCTGCGGTGACTACTCCACAAAGGTGGAAGGGTATGGTTGTGTGTACTGTACAATCAAGCGAAAGGCTTGTTGGGAAATAACTGTGACCTAATTAATGACTGAGTTTACATGTTGGCTCTCCAAAGGGATTTTTAACCAGTTTTGGTTCATTAAGCACCGTTAATGTGTTAGGCTTAGAATTCTGTTTTATGAAGATGTTCTTTTGGCTTTAACTTTATTGAACACGCTGTAGTCTTTATGGCAGCTAATTTAATCGCACTCATTTGCTCAGCTGCCACAAAACAATGCAGAGGCTGACAAATTAGAAATCCTCTCTCCCATTCTCAACACTATCTCCACGTCAATGCGGCTTTCTCCCTCTCGGCTTTTTAGGGTTAACTGAGTACCTGACACCCGATTTTCTTTCAACCAGTGGCAGTGTTCCTTTCCAGGGCCTGCACACAGCTCTGGGGCTCTCCTTGTAGTAAGATGGAGAGATGCTTGAAGGGTCCACAGCTACTACCACTTCCTGTGTCAGGCACCGTCTCTGACAGCAAGCAGGGCATTCTCGGGGAACTAAATTATAGAGAACTGCTGGCGCAGAGACTCGGGTTGTGGCTCCTTGTTGACAGGCCACACTGCGGCCTTATGCTCTTTACCTTTCTCCTAAGTTGTTTTCCCAGATATAATAACTAGTAGCTATAGTTACACACCCCGCTGGGAAAAGCAGACAACACAGGGCCAACTGGACTCTTATTCAGTTCTGTGTTTTGCCTTTGTGGAACTTTTCTTTGGTAAGCCTAGCTGGTCAAAATTAGGGTGTTGAGAAAGGCAAGAAAGGAAACAAACAAACAAATGTAAGGTGTTCCTTCAAAAAATATGCTTATGGTTTCAAGTCAGATTTCCCAGGCACACACAGCTAACATGGAAGCTCAAATTCCAGATGAAGAAATGTAAGAAATGGAGGCCAGTTGTGAAGACTGAGATTTACTTCCTGATTTTGCAGAATAGAAAAGTCATCATTTTATAAAGCAGTTTGATTTACTACCTTACAGTGTTTTGCATGGGAGAGACCTGTATTTTATAATTGCAATTTTTCTCCTTTCTTTAACTCTGGAAGGAGTGGCTACGCCCTATGGATAAAGTGGATTAAACGATTTTGAAATGGGTCCATCTAGTTTTCACATCTGGGACAACTGCCTGGACTCTGCAGAGATGTAGGTCTGATAAACTCGTCTCTGCTAAGCTTATGTAACTGGCTGACTCATCCAATATAATAGATTTGTCCTTAACCTGCTAGACAGCAGTGAGCAATTTGAGGTCGTTCCTGGAGAGATGTAGGTTTGGGGCATGGCTGTCGCATAAGCATTAATGTGTGATTGGCTTTACGGTTTATGTGGGTCCAGGAAGCGGGGTGGGGGGGGGTCTAAGCAGAACAGGTCAGGATCCTGTTCTTATAAAACACGTGAAGACAAAAATGGAGACTTCACTTTTTTTTTTTTTTTCTATTCAGAGAAAACATTTAGAGAGGCTTTGTGTGTTTGTTTATTCTGGAAAATCTAGACCACTTGATCGCACTGTACATACAGCGGCTGAATATATAAAGTATATGAAGTTCTGTTCCTGACTTCCCAGGCCCATGTGCATCCCAGCCTGACCCTAGACCAGCTGCCTAGCCCTTAGTCTTTCTCCTTCCCAGAATTTAACAGAGCCAGCGCCTTGAGTCTTCACCCCCTTCCTTTTGAGCGGTCTCGCCCACAAGCTGGCCATCTGAAGCTCGTGAGCCTCTGAGGCCTTCTCTCCCACCCTTTGAGCCCGCTGTCCAGCTGCATCTGCTCGCTCGCTACCCTCTTCCTCATCTTGTCCTCTCACAGTCCCCACCGCTGCATGTGGCCTGGTCGTGCCCTGAGATTCGTGGCCCTAACAGTTCGGTTTTCAGCCCCTGTGCATTGAGAACTGGGTGCTGGTGGCAGTGCCAGCCTTTGGTGACACCCCAGTGGACTAGAGAAATCTGACAAGCTTGCCTTGGGATGGGTGGCAGTGCATCTCAGGCAGTGCTCATGTTGTGGGTTCGAATCCGTTTGCTGGTCCAGGACACTCCTCAGTGCTGTCCTCTTTAAGATTCTCCCCGCAGAGCCTGGTGCTATTGGCTCCTGCCTCCTTGTCTTGCGCTCTCTCTCTCTCTCTCTCTCTCTCTCTCTCTCTCTCTCTCGCTCTCTCTCTCTCTCTCTCTCTCTCTCTCTCTCGCTCTCTCTCTCTCTCTCTCTCTCTCTCTCTCTCTCTCTCTCTCTCTCTGTGTGTGTGTGTGTGTGTGTGTGTGTGTGTGTGTGGTTTTTTGTTGTTGTTTTGTTTTTTATCTTTGGGGATGGTTGCTTGAATATTCTTTTTGCCTGTTTTTTAGAACGGGCTGTGTGAAGGTGGGCTGGAGGTCTGTCTTCTCCCGTTCCAGACTAACTGACCAGCAAGTGTATGATAAAAATGTGCAGAGTGAATACACAGATTTAAGGTCACCTAAAATGTCTTCCATGAGTTTTCGGCTGTATGTTACTCATTGTTTATTAATCCTGAAAATTAAATTGGAATAAAAGTTGGTTTTCTTCACTGGGGACTATATGTCAGGCACACGGGATATAACCTGATGCCTCAATATGATAAAATTGCCATCGACAGTGGGCAGGTGACATGCTCCTGCTAAAAGGTGTATGTATATTTTTAAATCAGGTAAAGTTATATTATGCGAATGAAAAGGTATCTTAGGAATGTAATTGTTTTACTTTCTTTTTGCTTTTTTTTTTCATCTGATAATAAGTGTATTATGATAAAAAGTAGAGGGGCCTTGAATCCCAGTGCTGCCTGCCTCCCGCCAGGGCTAAGTCACCTCAGATTCAGAGCACCATGGCTAACCATCTTGTTCATCTGCAAGTCTCCATTCCTCAAATGGCGCTGTTGTGGGATGGGCGGGTAAAAGGGGGCTGCTAACTTATTTGTCTCGTGTGTGGGGAGCTAAAGGTGATGATGTAATAAATAAGCAGTCAAGCCTGCTTTTATTTTACTTCTCAAGTACAAAGATCGAGACTGAGAATGTAGCTCAGTTGTCCGAGTTGTCGCCCGGCACGCACCAAGCTCTGGGTTTGACACCCCCCTCCCAAACCACACAGACCAGCTGTGATAGCTCACACACGTAATCCCAGCACAGGAGAGATAAGGACAGAAGGACATTGCGACTACAAGTCCAAGGTGTGGAGCCACCCTGGGCTAGAGGAGACCCCGTTTTTGTTTGTTTGTAATTTATTTATCTACTAACTTTATGTGTATGGATGTTTTGCCTGCATGAGTGTCTGTGTGCCACATGTTCTCCTGGTGCCTGTAGAGGCCAGAAGAGGGGAGTGAATCCACCTCAGCTGGAGTTACAGACGGTTGTGAGCAGCCATGTGGGTGCTGAGAATTAAACTAGAGTCCAAAGCAGCTCGTGCCATTGACCACCAGCCCTTCGCTCCAGGCCTAATTCTGCCCTTCAAAAACAAGACAAAACAGTCCTGTGCAGGCATCACTGTTTTGTCACTGGTCTCATTGACTACAGTTTTGCTACATGACACACATCAGGGCAAGCCAGTCACCTACTCTGTGTGTGTGTGTGTGTGTGTGTGTGTGTGTGTCTAGAAACAGAACCCAGGCTGAGCTACACCCTAGTCCTGTGATAATGCATAGCAAAAGCTTGTCTAAGAACTCTATTGTGGCTTACACTTCTGAAGTGTTATCTTGCAAGTGCTCCTAAGTTCCAGAGCTAGGGATGTATCTCTCTGTACTACAGCGAGTGCTTTTCGTGAAAGAGACTCTGAGCTCAATCTCTACCAGCAAAATGAGTAATTCTCACAATTTCATCCAATTAAAAACTGTCCCGACTGGGGCTGAAGATGTGGCTCAGTGGGTAGCAGCAAACACCCTTCCAGAGGGCCCAAGTTTGCTTCTAGCACCAGCTGGGGTTGCTCACAGCTACTGGTAACTCCAGCTCTCAGGAGAGCCTGCATCTCTGACCTCCATGGGTACCTGCATGTCAATGGAGAGAGAGGGGGCCATATATGGACACAGACATGGACAGACATACATACACATGGATAGACATAGACACACACGGACATACACACAGGGACACATACATGCATATATTTAAAAATAAATATTTTTCAAATCATTAAATGTCTCAACACACTAAAGTAAACACTATTAAGTTGTTAATACAAAAAAAGGCACCCAATATTTTTTTTCCAGTGGTATGTCTGTCACTTCTGTTACTAACCCTCCTGCCTTCTGAGAGTGTTTTCTGGCTGGACCTTCACAAATGATGGTGGGTTTGGAGATCTGCTGGTCTGGGTGGCCTTCGTGTGTTTCTGACACTGTCTGGTGTGGGAGACTCCCTATCTTACATTTGCCAACCTTCAGTAGTAGTTAGATAGGGACAAAAGAGCAGTCTGTAAACTACGGGCAGTCGATACAGTCCGAGAACTCAGTGTCTACCTCTGAAGTGTGATTGTAAGTTTGCTTTTTGCTTTTGCAGAATAGGGAGTTCACCATTTTGTAAAGTGATTTGACTCACTTACTTTAGTCTTTGGCATAGGAGAGACCTGTATTTCAAAATCGTAACTTTCCCCCTTAGTTAACGTCAGGAGGAGTGGCCATGCACTGTAATGCAATGCTTAAGTAAAATTACACATGTGGGGCATTTAATTGGCATGCCAAATTATAGGACATTTTAATTATTATGTGGATGTGACAAGATTCAATTATTCTTGAACTCTTTTGAGAAAGCTGCCCTTAGCAGCAATTCACAGTAGTAAACAGAAGATTAACGGGGGAAAATGCCCTTTAGGAGACTCAATACATGTTTCCGATTAAATACCATGGCCAAATAAACTGTAATATCGAGATGTGGAAAACAACCCATGCCCATCTTAGAATTCCAGCACATCCTCCTAGGATGGATTTATTCTAAACGAAGTTCTAAATGAAGAACTGAGTACCACTTGCCACCCGGGCTGTTTCCCTAGGTGCCTCATTGGGGCCGATTGTCTCCAACCGTCTCTTCTGTCCGAAACCATTAACCAAAGCCACTAATGAGTAGACAAGTGAGGTGAAGTGTGTCCCTCCAGCCTTCCATCCCCAGTGTGGATTAATGGGCAATCAGATGACTGCAAGACAGGCAGCTGAAGGGAGAGAAAAGGAAGCCAGGAAAGCTCAACAGCAGATGCCCTGCAGTTCACACTGGGCTGCCGCCAGGGGCTCTGTGGAGTTGGGATCACCAGAGTTCTGAGCTCGGTCCCTTAGTTGCTTCTTTCCAAAGGACAATGGGATTTCTGGAGATTTCTTCTGCACAGCCGTGATGTGAAGCTGCTTGGCTCTCTTGACCTATCATTCACATTGGCCATAACAAACCAGAGCCAGCCGTGACTTAACCTTGCTTGTGATCACTTTTGGTGCGCAGCTCACCTTGCCAGCACCCTAAATAAACCCTAGAAACACATCCTTCTCCGGCTACTGCTCAGGTTTTATCAAACCAGCTTGGCCGTTTGCTGTCAGGCCACTGTTGTTTGAGCCTTTTTGACATTGCCCACATTCCAAATAAATGGAGGTTGATTTTCTTTGGTCCATAGATTTCCTAGATCTGTATGTATGTATATGCACCCCCAAAGCTCAATGTCTGAGAAGCACTAACTAATAACAACTCCCCCCAGTAGCCTTGGCAGAATATCAAGAACAACAGACAGCTGAGAGCCCATAATAACAGTCTAGAACTTTCATTTTTCTAACTTTCCTATAACATTATAATAATAAAAGGTCAGGTTAGGCCTTTGTTTGCTTTGTAGCTCAGGGTAATCAAACCTTTCAAGTACCTTGAAGGCCTACCACCCAAATAGATAGTCTGTATTCTCCCTGGCCCTACCCCTTTCCGAAGTATTGTCTGCGTTATAATATATTGCTGCAAGACATTGTGTCTCAGAGGGCCTCTTTCTGCTGATCCCCAGGTTTTGGATTCAGGAAGACTGAAAGAATATGATGAGCCATATGTTTTGCTACAGAATCCAGAGAGCCTCTTTTACAAGATGGTTCAGCAGCTGGGCAAGGGTGAAGCCGCTGCCCTCACCGAAACAGCAAAACAGGTGAGTTCGCCCAGAAGCCTTAATTACGGTTTGTCTCACCAGTTCCCTCCTCACCATTTGGCACCAGGGGTCTGGCAAAAAGCACTGTGTGCCGTTTTCAATTATAAGCCTCAGGAGACAAAGCTTCAACAAGTCCAGGGTTGAAGTCAGGTCTATGAGGACTTGGCGGGAGCACCAGGGAGGGGAGGGTGTGTGCTCACACGCATGTGCAAGCAGGCATGCCCGAGAGAGAGTAAATGTGCTTGCTGACTCATTATATTTCTCTCTTGTTGGTGTTTAGCACATTGGCAGTGCAGTCGGGGTTTATCTAGTAAGTTAGGGAAGGCAAGGTGAAAATGGAGTATTGTTTATTCTAGAAAGATCTACCAGAGAAACATCCAGGTTGCTTTCCTCCTTTGTTTTATAATTTGTAAAGAATACTATTATTGCTTTCTGCCCCATTTCCGTTCATAATGTTTTATATATGAGTAATATATATCCATATAAAAAGTGCACAGCCCGTGTGTGGAAGTAGGTAAAGCTTTAAAGACATTCAGGTTACATGGGAGCTTCCCAGCACACGTGTACGGTGTTACCTCGGGGAACTGCACTTTGGTTTCAGGGACTGAATGTCACACAGCCCGTTGTCATCTTCATCTCTAGGCGCCACACTCCCAGTGCATTTCCCGACCTTCATTCTTTTTCTTATATTTCTCAGATTTTCAACACGGTAGGCATAAAATTGCTTGGGTTTGCGTAGCATTTTAAGTGCCTACTAAAGACAACAGAACAAGAAAACCTGTGCTACTAGCCCAGCAGTCCTGTGGGAGCCATTCTGCCTAAAGCCTAGGTTCCCTTTGCCCCTGCTGCCTCATGGCTCTTCAGGAGAGTTGGGGATGTAGTTGGGGGATAGGGTACCTGCCTAGAACGCACATGGTCTGGTCTGTCCCCAGCACCTCAGAACAGGGCACAGGGAGACACTGTGTCTTCTAATATTTTACTGAATTCCACTTCCATTAAAAAAAAACAAAAAACAAACAAACAAGGGGCTGGAGAGATGGCTCAGAGGTTAAGAGCACTGGCTGCTCTTCCAGAGGTCCTGAGTTCAATTCCCAGCAACCACATGGTGGCTCACAATCTCTATAGTGAGATCTGTTGCCCTCTTCCCTCTTCTGACATGCAGGCAAAAGCGCAAGCAGAACATTGTATACATAGCAAATAAATAAAATCTTTAAACAAACAAACTTGTAAGTAGGGCCAGGAGAGGTGGCTCAGTAGTTGAGAGCATTTGCCGCTCAATCCTGAGGACTAGAATTTGGGTCCCCAGACTCATGTAATGAGCCAGGCGTCGCACTTCTACAATTGTGTGTACACTGCCACAGGTCTGCAGACTCACAAAGATGCACATTGACACATACATAAATAAATTTTAAACACTGCCAAATGTGTGCATATATAAAAGCCTTGTGATACTGGATACTTTGTGCTAAGAATATGTTTGCATGCCTTTAGTCATTGGTGATATTAACCAGAGCAGAGAACTAGCAAGTGGCTTTCCCAGTAGGGAGCCATGATGGTGATGATGATGGTGATATAGTTTTGACACTCCCCAGATGTGGTGGTCTGATGGGGACGTCCTTCTGTATATGTTTCTCTTATTGGTTGATGAATAAAACACTGATTGGCCAATAGCCAGTAGAGACAGAAAGATAGACAGAGTTAGGAGACAAGGAGAATTCTGGGAAAGGTAGGCAAAGAGAGACCTCCATCAGATGCAGTGTAGCTGCAAAAGGAAATACAGGTCTAGGCGTTCTCCAGTGAGCCAAGACCACGTGGAAATACTTAGATTAATAGAAATGGGTTCATAAATAAGCTAGCCAATAAGAAGCCCTAGTCATCGGCCAACAGTTTTATAATTAATATGGCATCTCTGTGTGCTTATTTGGGACTGAGAAAGGTGCCTGAGGGACTGGGCTGGAAAGAAACCACCAGCAACGAGGTCTGGGTTGTGATTCGGGTTCTCTGACCATTATGCCTGCCTGAGAGGTTATGGCTTAGAGAGCAGAAGCAAGTACCCCGAATCCCATAGCTAGTGAGTGACTGGAGGCCTAGACTGGGCCCAGAGTGTTGGTGCTCAGGGCTTCTCACAAGGACTTACCCTGTGTGACGGAGGGGAGAGGCTACCTTTGGGATGCTGCACTTTGTGGGGCGGGGCGGAGCTCAGATGTTTAGCACACTTCCGTTTCTAGAGTGTTCCCTAGCCCGTGTTCCCTTTCGTGAGACCCAGTGGATTATTTGAGAATCACTGAACAACACGGACTTAAAACCTTTAAGCATCTCACATAAAAGACATGTTCCCCACCTGTGTGTCTCCCGCCCCCCACCATCTTTCACTCTGTTGTGCTGGAAATTGAGCCCAGAGCCTGGGACCTGTTAGACAAGTGGCTCTCTGCTGAACCACACCCTTAGCCCCCTCAAAGCCTCTCAGCTGTTGTGGGCTGAGGGTGTAGCCCAGTGGTAAAGTGCTTGCCCAGCGCGTCTGAGGCCCCGAGTTTAATCTCTGGCATGAAGGAGATGGGGTGTTACGGGAAGAAAGAAACTCTGAGCAATGAATGATCATCAAGTTTACCTAGATCTGCATCTTATAAAATAACACAATTCAACAGTCTCCTTCTTTCTTGTGCAGTATGTGTGCACACACGCGTGTACACCCGTGTGTGTCTGTATCAAGGCCACAGGTGGACATTTGGTCTCTTTCTGCCTCACTTTTTGAGATGGGATTTCTCATCGCTCCTGGAACTTGCTAATTAAGTTAGTCTGGCGGTCAGCAAGCCCCAGAACTCCCTGACTCTACCTCTTGGCACTGGGATCACAGGCGCACACAGGACTCTTTACATGGATTCTGGGGGTCCAAACCCACGTGTCATGCCTCAGCCCTTCAGCATGTTCATTTTAAAGATGTGGAAAGTGAGGGGCGGCCCACTGTTATCCTAGTTTGTAGCAGAAATTCTAACTCTTCCCTTCAGTCAACATCTTAATTCAGGGGTAACTTTCATTCAGGGAAGTGTGTGGGTCACAGTATGAGGCGTATCTCTGTGCTCTGGTGTCCACTTACTGCTCTAGTTTGCTTTGGATGGCTCTTCTTAGACCATGACCAGAAGCAACTTGGGAAGGAAAGCATTTTATCTGGCTTACAGGAACCAACCACAGAGGGAAGCCAAGGCAACAGGAACCTAGAAAGAGGAGCTGATGCAGACACCATGGGGAGTGCTGCTTGCTGGCGTAATCAGCTTTTATATTAGACAACCCTGAGCCAAACACAGGGTGCATGGCGGGCTGGGCCCTTCCACATCAACCACTAATGGAGAAAATGCCCCCACAGATTTGCCTTCAGGCCAGTCTGATAGAAGCACTCTTCAGTTGGCATTCCCTCTTCCCAGCTTTTGTCAAGTCAATCAAAGGAGAGAGAGAGAGAGAGAGAGAGAGAGAGAGAGAGAGAGAGAATTAGTACATTTAGGTTTCTGTCATTCTTAGAGTTTATTTCAGAATGTGTTTTCAGTTCTTGGATGTGTGATGTTAGTTGTTCTCCTCTTGATTGCTGAGTGTCAGGTCAGAGGTTTGAGAGCACACACCGAGACAGCAAGGAGCAGAGGTCTGGTGCCTGGCTGCACTTAAACACTTGGCTTCCAGGATGGGCCTGTTTCCCTGGCATCTGTGGCAGTAGGTGGTAGAATTAAATGTGGATTTAAGCCCTGCCTCGACTCTGGTGCTGGTTTCATCTACAGAGAATGGAGAGAAATGCAGAAATGCAGAACTTGGTTGGCATTCTTTTTTTAAAAGATTTATTTATTTATTATGTATACAGTGTTCTGTCTGCATGTCAGCCTCCAGGCCAGAAGAGAACACCAGATCTCATTACAGATGGCTGTGAGCCACCATGCTTTGCTGGGAATTGAACTCAGGACCTCTGGAAGAGCAGCCAGTGCTCTTAACCGCTCAGCCATCTCTCTAGCCCCTCGGTTGGCATTCTTACTGCACACATGAGGTTCTTTGAGGAGAGCGAGGTGTCTAGTTGTCAGCATTTTACATGTATGAAGTGAAATATTCATGCATCTTTCAGACCCGTAGCACCATGTGGGTGGGTTAGTGTGCACCATCAAGCCTTTCCCTCTCACAGAGCAGAATCGCTTCCTCACGGATGCAAGCCCAGGGTGGATGACGGGACTTCAGAGTCACATGTTCTTGACTGGGTAGCTTCTTTTCGGAGAGGTTGTTGCTGAGTCACTGTGAGCATGTCCTTTAGATGTGGCCTGTGGAAAGGCAGAGTTCTTTCCAGGTGCAGAGGCACGGGGTATGTAAGTCCTTGTACATGAGGGCCCACCCTGACAACTTCATTTTAACTTAGTCACCTCTTGAAGGACCCCATCTACAAGTGTAGTTACATCCTGAGTTACTGGCGTTAAGACTTTGAGCTGTGCTTGTAAGACAAACGAAGTCACCGCACAGTTGAGCCCATCATGGAAGATGACGGTCTGTCGTTGTCTCCCTGGATGACGCAGTCCTCTGGTCCTGCTGTGTCATGGTGCCGCCATCTTATCCACCTGTGAAGTTACCAGTTACAACCCCAAATTTACAAAATCCTAACATCCCGGGCCTGTTTGAATAGGACAAGACACACTTAGCAGGTATTGGCATTCCGTAAGAATGGTCGACACCTCCACAGGTGAGGATCCCATCTGCCACCCGGGCAGGGTCTGCAGTGCTAACTGGACTCTCCACATTGTGGGTTTCAGACGAGATGGTGAGCAGTACAGGGCTCTCGAGTGGATGCAGCATTTTACAAATGCAGGGGGATTCTAGCAGGTGAAAACAGAAGTTGGAACAGGCTTCAGGCCAAACCTCTTCTGCCTGATGCAGTTAGCGACCGTTTCTAACAGGCGGTGTGAGCCGAGTGTACAAATTTCAAAAATTTATGGACAGTAAACATTTTGTTTTATGTGTACTTACGTACATGTTCGTAA